CTAGACAAGACCAAGTTTCCTGCAGCGAGGTCACTGTAAGTGGCAAACCGCTGGACTCTGGGAAGTGTGGAAGGGAGTCCTCCTGAGGTGACACTAGAGACTCCTGGAGACACTGATCCGGGAAAGCACCGGGGGGCCGACCTTAGGGAAATGGGGACAAGGGAAACATCCGGAGCAGCGGATGATTCCCTGGATGATATGAACTTGAGGAAGGTTGTTGTTGAGGCTGACCCTTGGGTAAGTGGGAAGGAAGATATCCTGGCGGTAAGACCTAAGGATTCCTTCATACATGATCCTGCGGACGCAAGAATACCGCTGACCTTGGGGAAGTGGGGAAGGAGTTCACCTGAGGTGACATAAATGGATTCCTGGAGACACTGATCCGGGGAAGGCATCCGCCGACCTTAGGGAAATGGGGAAAGGAAGACATCCGGAGCGAACGGATGGATTCCGGATACATGAACCATGGGATGGCAAAGAATACATGCAGTTGGGCTGACCTTGGGTAAGTGGGTGAAGGGAAGATATCCGGCGTAACGGAAGGATTTCTGTATACATGATCCTGGAATGGCAAGAATACCGCTGACCTTGGGGAAGGGGAAAGGGATGTCCCACTCAGGTGACATAAGTGGATCCTGAGACACTGACCGGGGAAGGACCGCCCGACCTTAGGGAAATGGGGAAGGAAGACATCCGGAGCGAGCGGATGGATTCCTGTATACATGAACTTGGGGAAGGTTTGTCGTTGTGAGGCTGACCTTGGGTAGTGGGGAAGGGGAGACATCGGAGCGCGCGGATGGATTCCTGGATACATGAACCTGAGCAAGGCAAGAATACATGCAGTTGAGGCTGACCTTGGGTAAGTGGGGAAGGGAAGATATCCGGCGGTAAGACGGAAGGTATTCCTGGATACATGATCCTGTCGGACGGCAAAAGAATTACCGCTTGACCTTGTGGAAGTGGGGAAGGGAGATCATCCGGGAGCGAAACGGATGGATTCCTGGGATACATGAACTGGGGAAGGTTGTGTCAGGCTGACCTTGGGTAAGTGGGGAAGGGAGACATCCGGGACGAACGGATGGATTCTGATACATGAACCAGGTTATGGCAAGATACATGCAGTTGAAGGCTGACCTTTGGGGTAAGTGGAAGGGAGACATCTGGGAGCGAACGGATGATCCCTGGATACATGAACCTTGGCAGGCAAGAATACATGCAGTTGATCTGACCTTGGGTAAAGTAGTTAAGGGTAGATATCCGGCGGTAGACGGAAGGATTTCCTGGATACATTGAAACTGGGGACAGCAAAGAACAGGTTGGTGAGGCTGACCTTAGGGGACAGAGAGGAAGGGAAAACATCCGGAGGCAAACAGATGGATTCCTGGATACATGAACCTGGGGAAGGCTGAGGCTGGAAGGCAGAGAGAGAAAGAGAGGCGAGCTGACCTTAAGGAATGAAGGAAGGGGAGACATCGGGGCCCACGGATGGATTCTTGGAACACAATGAACCTGGGGAAGGCGAGGGGGGGGGGACCTTAAAGACAAACCACTGCCTCACACGTGCAAGGTCTGTAACTCCGAGATAACTCTGAGGCTGACAGTGTCGCAAATATATTATAACATTATAATATATTAATTATTATTATGATATTATGTTATTATTATTATTATTTTTATGTTATTTATTATTTTTATTGTTATTATTCATGATTTGGATTCAAAGCGCACCAGCCTCCCCTACAGTAGCATCGGTGGTGTTATTCCCACTTCACCTCCATGACAGTAAGCATTCGGTGGTGTTATCCCACTCCAGCCTGCCTCCCTGACAGTAGCCATGTTGGGAAGTTATCCCACCCAAGCCACCCTGACAGTAACCATGTGGTGTTATTCCCTAGTTCGAGAATAACACGTCAGTGGCAATCTCGCTGGTGCCACCCACGTTATCATTAATTATGAAAAAAATCCACAAAAAAGGAAATACTTTCATCATCATTTCACACTTTCACCTCACTCACTACATAATCAACTGTCTTTGCAGAGGCCTCAGACCCCAAACAACAGTTTATGAAACATATATAAGTAATATTAGATACTCTTCCAAACTGCCAATATCCCAATATCCCGAATGGGTGAAACTGGTCTCTTAACAAGACCCTCATGTAAAAATTGAGTCCTTTCCTTATATTTCATGCTGTGCGTTTAAAGAATATTTTTTTTTTTCCATTTATGTAAATGTAAAATGCTAATAACTTTGTTCTAAAAGAACCTTAGAAAACCTTACCTAACCTTTAATTTATTTAATTTGATTTAGCCTAATTTAACTAAAAATGTTTTAGATAGTTTACAATAATTTAATAATAAACAAACACAATGAAATACATTTTTTTTCGTTAGGTCTCAGAATGTTTTTTTGCGAAATTATTGCATACACAAACTTTCAACTTGTGTATGTTTTAGTATGCTGTTATTGGAAGTTTACTGTAACTTTTCTTTTTGTTACCTATTACAACCCAGGAAGTCCCAAAGGCCTGTTATCCTGTGTGTAGGAAGGCAGCGAAATAAACACAACAGAAAAGCTTTTGATTTGCATTAATCCTTTCACCAATTTAAACAGGTTTGTGACAACACACACAGTCGTACTGGCCAGGTTTGTGACAACACACAGTCGTACTGGCCAGGTTGTGACAACACACAGTCGTACTGGCCAGGTTGTGGCAACACACAGTCGTACTGGCCAGGTTGTGGCAACAGTCGTACTGGGCAGGTTGTGGCAACACACAGTCGTACTGGCCAGGTTGTGGCAACACACAGTCGTACTGGGCAGGTTGTGGCATCAGTCGTAGTGGCCAGGTTGTGGCAACACAGTCGTACTGGCCAGGTTGTGGCAACACCCAGTCGTACTGGCCAGGTTGTGGCAACACACAGTCGTACTGGCCAGGTTGTGGCAACACAGTCGTACTGGCCAGGTTGTGGCAACACACAGTCGTACTGGCCAGGTTGTGGCAACACAGTCGTACTGGCCAGGTTGTGGCAACACACAGTCGTACTGGCCAGGTTGTGACAACACAGTCGTACTGGCCAGGTTGTGGCAACACAGTCGTACTGGCCAGGTTGTGGCAACACACAGTCGTACTGGCCAGGTTGTGGCAACACAGTCGTACTGGCCAGGTTGTGGCAACACACAGTCGTACTGGCCAGGTTGTGGCAACACACAGTCGTACTGGCCAGGTTGTGGCAGCCACCACCACAATTCTTATTGTCAACAGATCGAATCATCCGAGTGGTTTTTTTTTTTTTTCATCACGGAAAGTTTTTATTTTTTGTCTGTTGTGGTGAATGTTTTTTTAAGTCATTAATAAAGAGGTGAGAGAAGTGTAAGTATGAGAATTGAGAAAGTTATTTAATAATTAATTCTACTTAAACAAAGTGTTTATTCTTCTGAATATCTTCTTTATCTTAACCACAAGTCTCTCAAGTTAGTAATTTCTTCACATATTTACATCTTTTACCACATTATTTCATCAAAAAATTATAACCCTTATTGCACTTTCTTAGAGAAAATTTAAATGATATAAACAAAAATTATCTAAATTCTCATACACAATTTATACAATATTAATTTTAATTAAACAATGGTGAGGGAGAGTGTTGATATGTCTATGATAACGTGTACATATGTATGTATATATGTGTGTTGGTAGTAGTGTGTTTGTAGTGATGTATGTGTGTACACATGTATGTATATATGTGTGTTGGCAGTAGTGTGTTTGTAGTGATGCATGCATGTGTGTACACATGTATGTATGTGTGTTGGTAGTATTGTGTTTGTAGTGATGTGTATGTGTACACATGTATGTATATAAGTGTGTTGGTAGTAGTGTGTTTGTAGTGATGTGTATGTGTACACATGTATGTATATAAGTGTGTTGGTAGTAGTGTGTTTGTAGTGATGTGTATGTGTGCACATGTATGTATATAAGTGTGTTGGTAGTAGTGTTTGTAGTGATGTATATATGTACACATGTATGTATATATGTGTAGATGAAAGTGAAAAGTAAACATCAAAAAAAACTTGTATGATCTACATAATAATTCAGAGTAAAGAAGAGCACAGTTCCGTGGTACAGCTGTCAGCTTGGCTGACTCTGCTGTCAGCACAGTTCCGTGGTACAGCTGTCACATCTTTAAATATTCACAAGTTACACAAACAATGTTCTCAAATTACTGTAAACCAACATTTTTTTGTCTTATATATTCTGAATATTGAAGCAAATACTCATATCTAAATTTCCCATATATTGTCTCTGCTACATTGTTTAATCATGTGGACGAGTACATGTATGTCTATGAGAATGTGTACACATGTATGTGTACATAAGTGTTCGTGGGATGGGCTTTGGAGTGATATGTTTGTGTGTATGTATGTGTGATCTCAGACATATTATAGTGATAGGAGATAACTGTGTACATTGTTGTGTGCGTATTTGTAGTACATGGGATTGTGTGTGATTTTTATGCATGGAAGTGTATGTATAATGATGTATGAGTAAGGTGAGTGTGTTTAAACGTATAAATATTTGTGGAAATACTTATATATGTGTATGCAAACAATTTCTGCGCTTGTTAGGCTTTCAGTGCCAAATGTAAAAGACGGAAAAATAAACAAAAATGAAAGCAGTGTAATATTTAACATAGTTATGATGGTGGTGGACAAATTAACCAACAATTGGGTATTCATCTGCAATAATAAAACACTCTCAAATACTTTTAAGCAGCTAAATAAGTAATAAACAACTTGTTCTCAGTATATTTTCATAGTGTAACATAAAAGGATTTCCAAAATTTATGTTAATTAGCCTCTCGGAGGTGGCGGAACTGTGAGGCAGCTTGGTGGCGTCTAGCTGACCTACGGTCCAGGCTGTCTTGGTGAGTGTAATTACTGGACGCAGTTTTCTGTGTGTGTCACCTCCAGTAATTCCACCCACCTGGACAGTCTCTACCGTAGACCAGCTAGACAAGACCAAGTTTCCATGCAGCGAGGTCACTGAAGGTGGCAACCGCTGACTCTGGGGAAGTGGGGAAGGGAGTCCACCTGAGGTGACACTAGTGGACTCCTGGAGACACTGATCCGGGGAAGGCACCGCTGACGCTGGGGAAGTGGGGAAGGGAGTCCACTCAGGTGACACAAGTGGACTCCTGGAGACACTGATCCGGGGAAGGCACCGCTGACTCTGGGGAAGTGGGGAAGGGAGTCCACTCAGGTGACACAAGTGGACTCCTGGAGACACTGATCCGGGGAAGGCACCGCCGACCTTAGGGAAATGGGGAAGGGAAGACATCCGGAGCGAGCGGATGGATTCCTGGATACATGAACTTGAGGAAGGTTGTTGTTGAGGCTGACCTTGGGTAAGTGGGGAAGGGGAGACATCCGGAGCGAGCGGATGGATTCCTGGATACATGAACCTGAGCAAGGCAAGAATACATGCAGTTGAGGCTGACCTTGGGTAAGTGGGGAAGGGAAGATATCCGGCGGTAGACGGAAGGATTCCTGGATACATGATCCTGGGAATGGCAAGAATACCGCTGACCTTGGGGAAGTGGGAAAGGGAGTCCACTCAGGTGACATAAGTGGACTCCTGGAGACACTGATCCGGGGAAGGCACCGCCGACCTTAGGGAAATGGGGAAGGGAAGACATCCGGAGCGAGCGGATGGATTCCTGGATACATGAACTTGAGGAAGGTTGTTGTTGAGGCTGACCTTGGGTAAGTGGGGAAGGGGAGACATCCGGAGCGAGCGGATGGATTCCTGGATACATGAACCTTGGCAAGGCAAGAATACATGCAGTTGAGGCTGACCTTGGGTAAGTGGGGAAGGGAAGATATCCGGCGGTAGACGGAAGGATTCCTGGATACATGAACCTGGGGACAGCAAGAAAACAGGTTGGTGAGGCTGACCATAGGGAAGTGAGGAAGGGAAAACATCCGGAGGCAGATGGATTCCTGGATACATGAACCTGGGGAAGGCTGAGGCTGGAAGGCAGAGAGAGAAAGAGAGGCGAGGCTGACCTTAGGGAAATGAGGAAGGGGAGACATCCGGGGGCCCACGGATGAATTCCTGGACACATGAACCTGGGGAAGGCGAGGGGGGGGGACCTTAAAGACGAACCACTGGCCTCCACGTGGCAAGGTCTGGTAACTCAGAGATAACTCTGAGGCTGACAGTGGTCGCAAATATATTATAATTCATTATTATTATGTTATTATGTTATTATTATTAATTATTGTTTTTATTATTCATGATTTGGATTCAAAAGCGTCAACCAGCCTCCCTGACAGTAGCATCGGTAGTGTTATTCCCACTCCAGCCTCCCTAACAGTAGCATCGGTAGTGTTATTCCCACTCCAGCCTCCCTGACAGTAGCATCGGTGGTGTTATTCCCACTCCAGCCTCCCTAACAGTAGCATCGGTGGTGTTATTCCCACTCCAGCCTCCCTGACAGTAGCTTCGGTGGTGTTATTCCCACTCCAGCCTCCCTGACAGTAGCATCGGTGGTGTTATTCCCACTCCAGCCTCCCTGACAGTAGCCATGATGGTGTTATTCCCACTCCAGCCTCCCTGACAGTAACCATGGTGGGGTTATTCCTACTCGGGAATAACACGTCAGTGGCATCTCGCTTGTGCCACCCACGTTATCATAATATGAAAAAAAAAATCCCCAAAAAGGAAATACTTTCATCATTCAACACTTTCACCTCACTCACACATAATCACTGTCTTTGCAGAGGCGCTCAGACACAACAGTTTAGAAGCATATATGAAGTAATATTAGATACTCTTCCAAACTGCCAATATCCCAATATCCGAATGGGTGAAACTGGTCTGTTAACAAGACCTCATGTAAAATTGAGTCCTTTCTTATATTTTCTCTGTGCGTTTAAAGATATATATTTTTCATTTATGTTAATGTAAAAACTAATAACTTTGTTCTAAAAGAACCTTAGAAAACTTACCTAACCTTTAATTTAATTTAATTTGATTTAGCCTAATTTAACTAAAAATGTTTTAGATAAGTTTACAATAATTTAAAAATAAACAAACACAATGAAATACATATTTTTTCCGTTAGGTTCAGAATGATTTTTGCGAAATTATTGCATACACAAACTTTCACTTGTGTATGTGTTAGTATGCTGTTATTGGAAGTTACTGTACTTTTCTTTTGTTACCTATTACAACCCAGGAGTCCCAAAGGCCTGTTATCCTGTGTGTAAAGGGAGCGAAATAAACACAACAGAAAAGCTTTTGACTTGCATTATCCTTCGCCAGTTTAGAACAGGTTGTGACAACACACAGTCGTACTGGCCAGGTTGAGACAACACACAGTCGTACTGGCCAGGTTGAGACAACACAGTCGTACTGGCCAGGTTGTGACAACACGTATTCGTACTGGCAAGCTTGTGACAACACACAGTCGTACTGGCCAGGTTGTAGCAACACGCAGTCGTACTGGCCAGGTTGTGACAACACACAGTCGTACTGGACATATTGTGACAACACATAGTCGTACTAGCCAGGTTTTGACAACACAGTCGTGCTTTCCAGGTTGTGACAACAGTCGTACTGACCAGGTTGTGGCAATACACAGTCGTACTGACCAGGTTGTGACAACACACAGTCGTACTGGCAAGGTTGTGGCAACACACAGTCGTACTGGCCAAGCTGTGACAACACACAGTCGTGCTGGCCAGGTTGTGACACCACACAGTCGTACTGGCCAGGTTGTGACAACGCACAGTCGTACTGGGCAGGTTGTGACAACACAGTCGTACTGGCCAGGTTGTGGCAACACACATTCGTACTGGCCAGGTTGTGGCAACACACAGTCGTACTGGCCAGGTTGAGACAACACACAGTCGTACTGGCCAGGTTGAGACAACACACAGTCGTACTGGCCAGGTTGTGACAACACGTATTCGTACTGGCAAGCTTGTGACAACACACAGTCGTACTGGCCAGGTTGTAGCAACACGCAGTCGTACTGGCCAGGTTGTGACAACACACAGTCGTACTGGACATATTGTGACAACACACAGGCGTACTAGCCAGGTTTTGACAACACAGTCGTGCTTTCCAGGTTGTGACAACAGTCGTACTGGCAAGGTTGTGGCAACACACAGTCGTGCTGGCCAGGTTGTGACACCACACAGTCGTACTGGCCAGGTTGTGACAACGCAGAGTCGTACTGGGCAGGTTGTGACAACACAGTCGTACTGGCCAGGTTGTGGCAACACACATTCGTATTGGCCAGGTTGTGGCAACACACATTCGTACTGGGCAGGTTGTGACAACACAGTCGTACTGGCCAGGTTGTGGTAACACGCATTCGTACTGGCCAGGTTGTGACAACACAGTCGTACTGGCCAGTTTCTGATAACACACAGTCGTATTGGCCAGGTTGTGACAACACACAGTCGTACTGGCCAGGTTGTAGAAAAACACGGTGGTACTGGCCAGTTTGTGACAACACACAGTCGTACTTTATAGGTTGTGGCAACACACATTTGTACTTGCTAGGTTGTGACAACACACATTTGTACTGGCTAGGTTGTGACAACACACATTTGTACTGGCTAGGTTGTGACAACACACATTTGTACTGGCAGTTGTGA